GAACATGCATGAGGGCTGACCAAAGTTGAAGTAGGATTGAAGTTGCTGAGCTTTTTTATTAGGGTTTTACATGTACTACCTTGGGGGCCGGATTAAATCGCCTGGATTAGGCCCCCAAAAGGGACTTTGCACATGCCTGCCCTAAACATTTGGTGAATCTTTGCACTTTTGTCCATTTACTGTATTTCTTTTTCCCAGTTTGAACTATAAAATGGTGGTTTTCTTGAGTCAAAATGAGAGTACCCCTAAACTTTTTTTTTAAAAAGAAAAAGCACTGGTTAAAACAGACGTAACAAAGCAGTAGCCACCACAAACACATGTAAAAACTGTAGAATATTAAATATTGAAGAAGAATGTTTTTGCCTGGTGCCTTGTTCTCTTCTAATGGCAATGGCCCCAGCCTGAAGTGCCGGAACTGAGTTCCACTGAGTTGGAAATCCCCTTGCACCTTGCATTAATGAAACTGCAGACTGGTTGCATGCCAGGAATGCAACTGGTACATGCAGTCTGCCTTGACAGGTGTCAAGCAAGACATGTCAACCAACTATTGCTCATTATTCCAAACAGAGGAAGCAGGCTTGTATCAAGTAAAACAACTGGGCTATCTCATTCTCTCTTTTTAAAAAAATAATTTTTATTGATTTTAACATATAAATTATAAAATGTACCACAAAACTTATCACTTATACAATCTTTTTAGACTTCCATCAGCACCTCTGATGATCCACCGTTTTAACCACTTCTTATGCATTTCTTAACTTTTATTGCCTTTACATCACTTAACAAATCATCCTTCCCCTTCTCCATTTTTGCAATACTTCCAATAATACTTCTTGCACAAAACTTCTTGCAAACCTACAAACATCGTCTGATCTTCTCAAATACTTTTCAAATAGTTCGTAAATTTACTCCAGTCTTCCGTGAATTTAGGATTTCGAATCCTTCCTGTTAGTTTATCTAATTCTGCATAGTCCATTAACTTCATCCTCCATTCTTCAATCGTCGGTAATTCTTCTTGCTTCCATTTTTGGGCCAATAATATTCTTGCTGCTGTTATTGCATATATAAAAAAGCTTATATTCCTTTCTATTTATATCACTCCCAACAATGCCCAGTAAAAATGCTTCTGGTTGGGCTATCTTGTTCTCTAGGGCAGGGGTTGGCAAAGTTTTTGTGGCTTGGGCCTGTTCACGGTCCCGCGGCTTGTCGTTTTCTTGTACCGGCAGCCCGCTCTGCCAAGTGATGCCCTCTTCATGGTCTCTTCTGTCTAGGTCTCTGTGGAACATTTTGCTATGTGTGTTTGGGATGCCAAGTTGCTGCAGATATGAATGAATGTTGCCTCTGCGGCACAAGCGTGGCAATGAGGTCCGTCTACCGAACCAAGTATGGGATCCCGGTAAGTGTAGCTAGCCTGGCGAGGGCAGATCCAGGTTTTAAGGATCTACAGTGAGTCGTTTTATTTTTACTAGAATCTCAGGTGCAAAATAGCAGCTCGTGTATGTGCGTATAGATACTCTCATTACTAATTCTTTATAGTAATTGATAAGTGTGAACTGTTAATTATTTGCTGATGTTTAATTTTACTGTTTACTATTGGATTCTAATGGATTGTTGAATATTTTAAAGTCATTGCAACTTTTTATATTGGATCAGATTGTTACTATTGATGTTTGATTTTTAAAATTATTTTTATACCTGATGGAAGCTGCCCAGAGTGGCAGGGGCAACCCAGCTGCAGGAGCAGGGTCTAAATAAATTATTATTATTATTATTATTATTATTATTATTATTATTATTATTATTATTATTATACAATTAAGGAATAAGGTTCCTCTGAGCACACCTACACATTTATTTTTAGTACCAGACTTGAGCACACAGGTCACACCCATGCCACACATTTAAATGCTCTTTACAGTAAGCCTGCAACTTATGCGGGTGTTACGTCCCAGAGATTGCTCCTAAAGCCAAAACCATGTATAGTCAAACACATTGGGTTCAATGGCGAGTGGGATTGCCAGTCGTTTTTCCCGGAACCCTGCCCACTTTTAATGTTTTTTGTTTTTAATTGCCACACATGTGAAGCTCATTTATACCCCGCCCTGAGCCCGGTCTTGGCTGGGGAGGGCGGGGTATAAATAAAAATTTATTATTATTATTATTAAATGCACACAAGCCACAGGCTTAACTGCACCACTTTAGCTTTCCCCAAAGAATCCCAAGGACTGTAGTTTCCTTTCATTCTTTTTAAAAAATGTCTGTATTTTTCTGTCTCAAAATAGGGCTGTAGATTCTTAGGGGTGCTGAGAGTTGTGAGATCTTGTCACAGAGCTGCAATTCCCAGCACCCTTGAACTATACTTTCTAGATTCTTTGGGGAAGTAATTACTGTTTAAGAGTGTGGATGTGACCGGTGTCCTTTCCACATGCAGTCTCACCTGTTTCCCCTTCAAGTGTTCTTAATTTCAGCTAATGTAGAGGGGGGAAGGAGTCTTTGAGTTTAGCATTGTTAAAATAGTTGGGAGCCAGACTCTCTGGCCAATCTGCTGCAAAGATCACCCAGTAGATTCCATCTACTTTTTCTGCCCTTTCTTGCTAATTGCAGTTTTTCTCCAAAACAAAAGGCTTTGGGGCTCAGTTACAGGCATTTAAATATATGCCCCAGTGAAGTTTGTCCCAAGCTGCCTGTTGACTCTTCATCTGTATTTAATATTTCTCTTTCCAAATATTATCTACTAGTTGCCTCATTTCTTTTTAACAGGGATCCATCTGCGATGACTACTGCACTCTCTGGTGTTACCCTCAATGTGCCCTTTGCCAACTCAAGAGAGACATCAATAGAAGGCGTGCACTAGGAATCTTTTAGGGAAGTTGAGAGTTTTGATGACATTTATAGTTCAATTTTGTTGTTGCTCATGTTAAGTGGTAATGTGATTTTTTCAAAAAGCTTCTAAAATCACACAGGTAACCTGTGGGCTTATACAAATCTAAGTGTTTTTTTAGCTGTTAATCCAGTTTCTTGCCCTTCCAATTGTTCCATACCTGCATGTATTTGAATTAGTGTATAAGGAGTGACAGCAGTCTTTCCAAATCATAGTAGTAGGTGTTCCCTTTTGTGCTTGTCTCACCTTCTGATTTCCTGATTCAGCTATGTCAATTAAGTACCAACAGCGCATGTGTAAAAGATGTTTTTCTTGATCTTCACCCTAACACATATCTTGCAGAGTAAAACATGAAGTTTACACACAGCCACCTTTTCTAACTCTTCATGCCCTAAATACTTATTTAGCCCTATGAAGAGTTCTGTGAATCTTGAAAGTCTGCAATACCTCAAGAAGACTGGGAGATTATTTGACTTCTTCCATCTCTCTAGAATGTGAGCATCTGAATAAACAGGAAATCTGCTATAAATCCTTTTTCAACTCTATTTTTTGGGGTGCGTGGAGGGGACTGGGACAAAGAATGCGAAGCCCATTTGTATAGGTGGAATTTTTCTGAACAAGTGGGACACACAGTTTCATATCATCCAGCAACTACATGGTGAACCTTAAAATGACCTTTTGGAAGAATATAAACGTAAGATCAGAATAAACTAGCTTTGAATGCTGTGTGTCTGTGAGATTCTCATCTGCACTTCCTGTCTCTGGTTACACCCCAAGAACATCAAACTACCATTATAAATTTGAGATGGGGAGAGAAGAGAGAATTAACTCTCCTTTTCCTTATAGTAAACTAAGTGGACACCTGAGAAGGGGTAGTATAGGGTTCTCGTATGAAGCTGAATCCCCAAATTGTATGAAAACTCAAAATTATGCATTGGGATAAAGGTAAAGGGACCCCTGACCATTGGGTCCAGTCGTGATCGACTCTGGGGTTGTGGCGCTCATCTCGCTTTATTGGCCGAGGGAGCTGACATACAGCTTCCAGGTCATGTGGCTGGCATGACTAAGCCGCTTCTGGCGAACCAGAGCAGCGCACGGAAACGCCATTTACCTTCCCGCCGGAGCGGTACCTATGTACTTTGACGTGCTTTCAAACTGCTAGGTTGGCAGGAGCAGGGACCGAGTGATGGGAGCTCACCCCATCGCGGGGATTCGAACCACCGACCTTCTGATCGGCAAGTCCTAGCCTCTGTGGTTTAACCCAGGATAGCCAAGTTCTAAGATTCACATGAACTATATTGATTTACATGGTTTTTGCATAACTGATGTCAATAAACGTTTTCCCACTATAACTATTCCTCTCTCCTTGTCCCTTAGTTTCACTAGACATTGCTCATACAGGTTTAGGGGCCAGATCCACTCCCATCCACACATATTTGGCTAGAGTGGATGGCAACTTCCTTGTACTAGTTTTCTCTTTGCTCTGTATACGGAGAGGCTATATATACATATAATAAACAAAGGATGAAAGCCTTCAAAGGTTTAACAAACAGCTCCACCGACTGTAAATTCAACACAAGAAATCAATTATCCTGATGGAAGTTCTGTGGGGAGGATAAAAGGTAAAGGTACCCCTGCCCATATGGGCCAGTCGTGTCTGACTCTAGGGTTGCATGCTCATCTCACTTAAGAGGCTGGGAGCCAGCGCTGTCTGGAGACACTTCCGGGTCACGTGGCCAGCGTGACGAAGCTGCTCTGGTGAGCCAGCACCAGCGCAGCACACGGAAACGCCGTTTACCTTCCCGCTATAAAGCGGTACCTATTTATCTACTTGCACTTAAGGGTGCTTTCGAACTGCTAGGTGGGCAGGAGCTGGGACCGAAAGACGGGAGCTCACCCTGCCGCGGGGATTTAAACCGCCGACCATGCGATCGGCAAGTCCTAGGCACTGAGGTTTTACCCACAGCACCACCAGGGATAGGATAGGATAGGATGCAGCAAATGACAACTGAAGATAGTGAATCTGATTAACTTCTAGCCTGCCTTTATTGGAATAACTACAGCTAAATAGAATATGGCACTTCAGTTTTCAACGCACACACACAAATATTCACAAGGCCACGAAACAACTGAAATTTTAATGCAAAACTTAAAAAACATCTTGTATTCCATTCAGTTATTTTTTAAACAGCTTAATGTCTATGTTGTACTACCATACCTTTAAGATAAACCTTTGGGGTTTTAAACATAATGTACACACATCTACACCTTTGTCTAGTTAGGGTTCTAGCAGAAGTTGAGCCAAAGCCATAAGTTCTTATGCTAGCTTCACATTTTTAGATGAATATAAACAAACAATATCTACAGAACGGGGGAAATGAAAGTCTACTGAGCCATCTGAGCTTCCATTGCCTGTGCTGTCCATTCTGGGGCAGTCTGACTAATCTTCTCCAAAAGGTTGTTAACTTGGAAGCAGAGAGACTGAATCTGTTTGTCCCACGTCGGCAAGGCTTCACGAGCTAAAAGACAATAGAAGAATTTATTCTTGCATTCACTGCTTGTTTCTATTAAATTTCCTGCCATTATTCGTTTGCTGCATAAGCAAATTTTCTGTTACCAAGTCTGCAGATACAGGTATTTTGGAATACAGGAATTCAAACTATTGCATGGACACTACTGCCATCTGGTGGCTACAGCGAGAATTACCACTTTGTCATATGTTGATTGTAAAAGGTAAAGGGACCCCTGACCATTAGGTCCAGTCGCAGACGACTCTGGGGTTGCAGCGCTCATCTCGTTTTATTGGCCGAGGGAGCCGGTGTACAGCTTCCGGTTCATGTGGCCAGTATGACTAAGCCGCTTCTCTTGAACCAGAGCAGCGCACAGAAATGCCGTTAACCTTCCCGCAGAGGTAGTACCTATTTATCTACTTGCACTTTGACGTGCTTTCGAACTGCTAGGTTGGCAGGAGCTGGGACCAAGCAATGGGAGCTCACCCCGTCACGGGAATCCGAACCACCGACTTTCTGATCGGCAAGCCCTAGGCTCAGTGGTTTAACCCACAGCGCCACCCGCGTCCCATGTTGATTGTACACCAGGCCAAAATATTTTGCTTTTGCATTACACGTGCTTCAACCGCACCTAGAGCAAGAACAACAAGCTAGAGCTTAACTTACTTTCAAAGTGAACAATTCCATCTATCTGATCAATGAATCCATTCATGCGACCCTCTGTTATCATCTGGGATGCTATCTTTTCCGCCTGAAAAACAAAACCCAAAAGGACCACATCTACTTTTAATAAACAGAAGCCCACTCCTGATATGGTTTTTGCCACATGTATGTGTACATAGGAGTGTCAGTGGTAGAGAAAAGTTATATAGGTCAATTTATTCTGCAGGAGACCGTTGCAACTATTGATTATACCATTCAGTCCCTAAATTAACTGAGATGAGTCTGTGTGATCCCCAATTTATAGGTGACCTCCAGCATGATTTAATTTCAAGGTCAAAAGGACTGCAAGATTCAAAAGGTATCTGCGGATTCAGAAGTGGTGCCACTTGACAGACGCAAGTCCACACGAGTGTGGGTGAGCAGGCTCATCGCAGTCACGACCTCTTAGAAAAAGTATGTGGGGCTGGAAAGTGTGGCCAACAAATTCCTTCCCAAAAGAGTAGCACATGTATAGGGACTTGGCATTTCTGTTTCAGCCACACCCCAAATTCATATGGCCACAAGTACCTTTAAGAACCATGCAAAAACATTCCACTTCTCCCAGGCCTGTGGCTAATTAAGTAATCTGTGGCCTTTCAAACTGTGTGTGCGTAGAAGTGGCTGTTTCGCTTTTTATAGGTGGCGACAATTTTACACACATCCAATAGATGTGCAACCGCTGATGCAGATTGTTTTGGGCATGGAATAGGGCAGAACAGGGGTGGAATGGGGTGTGCTTATGTGCGCTCCACCATTGCATGAGTGGGCCAGGAACGGATCCTCTGTGCAAAATGGTCACCACCTATACTATGGTATGTATTTTCATGCTTTTAAACTCTAACACCCACCCCCTACCCCCGTACAGATGGTATAAAGGTAAATGGACCCCTGACCATTAGGTCCAGTCGCGGACAACTCTGGGGTTGCGGCGCTCATCTCGCTTTATTGGCCGAGGGAGCCGGCGTACAGCTTCTGGGTCATGTGGCCAGCATGACTAAGCCGCTTCTGGCAAACCAGAGCAGCGCACGGAAATGCTGTTTACCTTACCACTGGAATGGTACCTATTTATCTACTTGCATTTCGTGCTTTCAAACTGCTAGGTTGGCAGGAGCTGGGACCGAGCAATGGGAGCTCACCCCATTGCAGGGATTCGAACCACGACCTTCTGATCGGCAAGCCCTAGGCTTTGTGGTTTAACCCACAGCACCACCCGCGTCCCTTACAGACGGTATAGAAATTTAATAAATCATCATCTTATACCAGCATCAGTCATTTTTCCCCCCTTTCTTTTTAAACGCATCTGCTTTAAGCAGAAGAGTGGACTAGTTCTTCATCAAACTAGACATTATTAAAACTAGCTTAGTTGGAACAAAACAAAAGCACACCGTACACAAGTCTATATACCTTGGCTGCAGGAATTTCTAATAATGCTCCAAGTTCTTCAAAGGTAATATTATTATACAGTTTGCTTGCAGATAACAAATTATGTTCAATGACAGCTCTGTCCAAAATACTAGAACCTGAAATAGAAACTGACAATGTATTAGGAGTTTGAAATTCAGCATGTATTTGGCTACAAGTCAAATATAATTTAAAAAACCTGTATGTAGCATATGCAGTCCTCAATTTCTGTTCATCAATACTGCTCCGTAATCAAGGTAGAAAAGAAATTGGCTTACATTATTATGATATTATCATAACTTTCATAATATGATTTATTGGCTTTAAATCATTGTGCTGAACAGGATATAAACCTGCTTAACTAAGAGTAATCTTTTTTTGCATCTTTGTCAAGCTCACAGAAAGGAAATTTCAGTCTAAATGTTGATGGAAGCCCAAAGTACTGCACGATGGCTAAGGAGATTAGAACAGCGTTTCCTAAACTTACAATAATTGCATGCCCCTTTTGAGTGTTCTATCTTACTGGAGTACCCCTTCTTGGGTGAAAATAATACTATTTTATCTTTGAATTAGTTCTTTTTAACTGCAGAAAACATGAAGTAAAATTTAAAAATTCTACTGTGTACACTTTGAAACCTTTCATGTATGACCAGGGATACACATACCATATTTTAGGAAACAATGGATTAGAATTTTCATGAAACTAGGTTATTTGTGCCAAACCCTGGAGTATAAAAGAATACAAAGACCCAATGTAAATGATTACTAAAGTTGACCCAAAGTGCAACAGTGCTCATTTTGAAAGGGTATATACAGAAAGAAACAATGTCTGAGTGCCCATCAGAACAGGGTACACCCGCACTTTAAGAGACCCCAGTACCATCAGCTGTTGTTGCTTTTTGGTGTGGCATGAGCATGGCAGCAAATTCTTGCAATTGGTTCCCTCTGATAATTCTGTCTAGATACATTTTCTCCAGTATCCCATAAGCCGCAAGCTGCTGGCATCTTTCATCCTTGAAGAGAGTAGCTAACATACGGGAACGCTGCTGTCCTGAAAAATAGTAAGAATACCGTGAACTGGGGGATCTCAATTCAATACTGTTCACTTCAATTTCAATGCATTTTCTCAGCTGCCTTTTGCAAGCCAGAAGCAAACGGCCAATTTCTTCATGCCTGCCCACAGCAAAGTACTCAACTGTTAATACTTGTTGACTTTTCAAATTATACCTGCTAGGTGCAGATTGCTTTAGCAGCTAGATCCTTTCTACGGAAACGAACTGCAATTTCTGCCTCTAGAATGCTACACTACCAAGATGGATTTGGTTTCAGTAATCATAATCATTAACATGAAACCGTACATGAAACATTCCAGTGACACAAAGCAGACAACCTGTGGCAGCTTATGCAGTTGTTTTGCTTTATGGAAGCATAACATGCATACTGCTTTAGAGTAGAGCTCCCCCACCCCTTGCAGAACATGTTCATATACTGTATTTTTCGCCCCATAAGGCGCACCGGCCCATAGGACGCACCTAGTTTTTTTGGGGGGAAGAAATAAAGAAACAAAATTTTATTTCCCCCCCCCAGGTGCGGGGCTGGGAAGCTGTCCCCCAAGCTGGCGGGGCTGGCGACGGGGAGGAGCAAGCTTCTCCCCCGCCAGCCTTCTAACCAAGTCGGGGGACAGAGGGATGGCGGCGTTCCGCCTCCCCGCTGTCCCCCTAGCTTGTGGGGCTGGCGGTTGGGCTCTCCAGGCTTCAGCGAAAGCCTGCATTCGCCCCATAGGACGCACACACATTTCCCCTTCATTTTTGGAGGGGAAAAAGTGCGTCCTATAGGGCGAAAAATACGGTATATAATCCCAAAGACTAAAATGATATTTTATCTATAGAAGTCAATCATCAAATGTTGCTTTACCTGCTGATGCCAAGATTGTGCAATGCAAGGCATGTTTCAGTGCCTCAAGTCTCTCACTTTCATGGACTATGCTCTTGTAAGAAAGCTCATTATACCTCTGGGCAGCTTCAATGAACTTCCTTCGGTAGTCAAGAACGCGAGCATAGCACACCTGAAACAGGGGGAAAAATCCATACAGTTGCTCACTATGTTACCTATTAAATCCAGTAATAATATCTGAGGGATCCCACTTTTCATGCAACTGACCATCAATTAGCATACTACAGGTCAGGATGATAATAATAAAATAAAATAAAATAATAATAATAATAATATTTTATTTATATCCTGCCCTCCCCAGCCAAAGCCAGGCTCAGAGCGGCTAACAACAGTAAAATAATACAGCATTCTAAAATTAATTCATTATAAAATCAGTTCAAATCAAATTGATGGCAACCATTGGGCTAGAGTTCTGTGAAGAATTACCAAAGGAGGGGGAATGAGAGGATGAGACGATAGCAATTGATAAGCCAAATCTGTATCTCGGGAAGTAGCAGGACCACAGCCCCTACTCCAAATAACCTGTCAGTTCAAGAGGGATATAAAAAGAGTAGAGGTTGTGGTGCTGGGACTTTGAAGCAGGACACTTTGGGGAGATTGGGTGCAAGAATCTCACTGCTACCACCAAAGTGGCGCTTGGGAAAACTAGGTAGAGGCTGGAGGGGTACAGAACATGGAATGACTTGCAATCTAAGAGTTACATGTTCAAATCATAGAAAAGTAACACAAGAACTAGGTTATCGTGTGCTTCAACTGTCTGGCCTTCCAGTCATGTGTTAAACACCACTGGTCATCACAAAAATGCAGTAATATGAATTGCAAAGGTAAAGGTAAAGGGACCCCTGACCATTAGGTCCAGTCGTGACCAACTCTGGGGTTGTGGCGCTCATCTCGCTTTATTGGCCGAGGGAGCCGGAGTACAGCTTCCGGGTCATGTGGCTAGCATGACTTAGCTGCTTCTGGCGAACCAGAGCAGCGCACGGAAACGCCGTTTACCTTCCTGCTGGAGGGTACCTATTTATCTACTTGCAATTCATGCTTTTGAACTGCTAGGTTGGCAGCAGGGACCGAGCTCACCCCGTCACGGGAATTCGAACCACCAACCTTCTGATCAGCAAGCCCAAGGCTCTGTGGTTTAACCCACAGCGCCACCCGCATCCTTAATATGAACTGTACTGGAGTACATTTTAGTGTTAAGTGGTCACCACCAGACTGGATCCCATGTTACATAATGAAATTCTCTCTAATCCAATGGGCTGCTAAGGCAAACATGGGAGCCATTCAGGTAGTCTGTTTCCATCAACAAATAATGAATGTCCTCCCTACTATTCAGGAAGGGAATTCTCTGAAGAATTCCTTTGAGAAATGTATCCCTAGGAGAATTATACAGGGAGCAATATAGTATGTAATGAACAATGCTTTCCACCTCTCCCTAGCCGCAGTGATTTACAAATACTATGGCTGTCTCCCCTCCAAATATGTTGTGGGCATAGTTTGGAATCTCAAAGCTGTAAATGCGTTCCTCATCATTTAAGCTGATAACTCAAAAAAGCAATCTTGGAGACCATAGTAAGATTTCACATAATAAAATGGTGAAAATTGCAGAGTTTGAAGATGACATCTAGTTAACAGATGGCCTCACTTTGTATTTATCCTGATTTGTAACTACAAGGGTAGCAACCTTGAGGTCAGCAAATGAGGAACAGATGTATATGCAAAAATATAATGATAAAACTTTTAAGCAATATGTTATTTCATTTCACTCAAAACAAAAATGTTAATATTTCACCTTATAGTGAATTTGTAACTGTTCATTGGTTGATTCATTCTGAAGAAGAGATGCTCTGTTGATGTAAGCCTCAGCCTGAACGGGATCGTCATCCTCCAGGTACAGTCGGGCAATTTTTAGGTAAGTCTCCAATTTATAATCTACATTGTATTGCCTTGAATAGAAAGGGGGGGGGGAATACCAGTATTGAAACCTCAGTTCATTTGCATCATAAGAGTTTTGCAAACATACTTATGTGGCCTGCAGAAATTTACAGTAATACTACACACTGTATGTTTGCCACCAGCCAACTCTGGCTGAAAGGAAGGATAGGCTGTGTCTCCCCAGAGAAATGGAGAAGCAGGATACACAATGGCAACCCTCCCCCCTCCACAAGAGGGTATGAAAATGTAATTTATTGGTTAGTTTTGAATGGTAATAGTCATAAGGTTTTACTCACAGTAGACTATTAAAATGGGCACAACTAATTTAGGTCCATTAATGTCAGTAGATCTACTTTAATACCACCCACTGTCTTAATGCAAATGCATTCAATGTGGGGCCCTTCTATATGCTGTGGACGACAATTCCCATCAACCCTCAGGGATTATGGGACTTGTAGTCCTAAAACCTATAGGGCACGTTGGCTACTCATCGTAATTGCAATACACTATTTGATGGAAGCTAGCAACAAGGTCCATGGCAGTCTTTTGTAAGCAAAAAACAGCTCAGCTCTATGCACTGCTCCACAGAAGACACTTGGATCTAAATCAAAAATAAGTGCAAAAATAAAAAGTAAAGGTTACTGAAACCAAAAATAGGACTGTGCTCTAAAGATTATAACTACAACGTGAGTAGCGCTAAAGGGTTATGAGTTCCCCACGGAAAAAGTTTCCAGGTGGATCACTGATCTATCAAAATAGTATGTGCAACTGTCACAGAACAATCAGAGAAGCCAAAGCTATTGAAAAGTCAAGGAAACAGATCCAGAATATGCCCAAATGAAGCATTTGTACTACAAAAGGATATACAATGCATGAAGAAAAAATGTCAGGTTTCCTAACAACTATTTACTTCTGTCCTGTTTCCAAAGGAATCCCCACCAATACTTGTGCTGCATTCCGCCAGTCTTCTTCTTTCTCATAAATTGATGCAAGATGTTGCCTTATAGAAGCAACCTGGGAAGAATGGGGACATAAAATTATAATGCAATCAAGTTATCAAATTGATCCACTTTCTAATATCCTTTGTATTATCTGTTTCCTATTGCCCATTTGACAAAGATAATCTGATTTTACATGATCTACAATATCTTTAAATATAAAAGGTAAAGGTAAAGGTACCCCTGCCCGTACGGGACAGTCGTGTCCGACTCTAGGGTTGTGCGCTCATCTCACTTAAGAGGCCGGGAGCCAGTCTTTATTGGAACAAATTGACTTGGGGCATCTTTTCCTTGCTGTCCTTTTTGCAAGGCTTTTCATATGCAGGTGATATCTATTATATTTTAGAGTACAGTACAGTGGTACCTCAGTTTAAGAGCAGTCCTGTTTAAGAACGATTCGGTTTACGAACTCCGCAAAACCATAAGTAGTGTCCCAGTTTGCGAACTTTACCTCAGTCTAAGAACAGAATCCGAATGTTGGAAGGGCACTGGCGGCGGAAGGCCTCATTAGGGAAAGCGTGCCTCGGTTTAAGAATGGTTTCGGTTTAAGAACGGACTTCCGGAACGGATTAAGTTCGTAAACCGAGGTACCACTGTACTGAAAATATTTCAATATACATTCTCTTTATCTGACTGGTTTGCCAGAGCCTTCTTGGAGACAATTACCCATCTTTGGGATGTCCTTCCTGGTGAGGTGTTTCTGTCTTTTTCATTATGTTTCCTTTGGGAGGAATTTAAATAGTTGTTTACCCAGGCATTTGATGAAACCTACTGTTTTTGACAACCTTATTAGCAGAGGGCATGTGTCTGTTTCACATGTTTTAAAATGTTTTTATTTTATTTTTAATTGTATTTTTAAATCACTTTGATGTTTCCTGCCCATGGCTCCTTTGAGAGGAAGGTTGGGATAGAAATTTCATCACCATCTTGCTCTTACCTGCTCCTCAAATGAAATTACACGAGGTTGGATCTTTTCCAAGGTGAAATGGTAGATTTCTTTGGCTGTACCATCGGGAAGGCTTGGAAGGTGGGTACAGAAGTCTGTCAACAACTGGCGTGAAATCACTAAACTGACGTTTTCATTGACCACTGGTTTAAGAGACACAAGGTGGAAAGAAAGTCAGGCTATACATTGTTGTTAGGCCTGTCATTTTAATGAGGATTCAGTCTATAACCATTGTTAAGGCCCCTGTTTCCAACTCAATTTTTTAGGCAGCTGTACCAGCTCATAAGAGCCTGGGCATAAAACTGTTACACTGACATAGCATCTGTTTGCAACTCAGTTGCTGTGCTATCATAATGAAAAGGCTTGGAGTCACCATTGTGAAATGTGGAATATGAGTTGCATGGCACAGAAGTGGGGGGGACGGGGGACAGGGACTGCTTCCCCTGCACGGGCGCAACCCATTCATTGTTTCACCACAGCACAGTTTTATGATCGGATGCCAAAATAATTATACTAGTATTAACAGAGAGCATAACCTTGGATAACAGGATTATGAGGTAACAATCCTCCTACAGCCTAGAAATGTTTATTCAGAATATCCCACTGATTTTGATGGAATTCATGTCAAAGTATTCATGCTTAAAATCGACCCCTCAAACTTTTCCCTACCAAATCCCCAATGCTATATTGATGCCTGTTTCAATGTACAAAGATTTCCAAGACCATTCATTTTTTTCTGATTGCAATTAAATACTTTGAAAGCTGTCATTCAATATGAAAACTAATAATTAAACTCACTTGCTTCTACAAAGGCTTTTAATGCCTCTAGTTGTTCCACTCCTGAGAGCTGAATTGCTTTTTCCAATATCTGACGATACCTGCCAGAATGCAGTAAAAAAAAGAGTTAAGTTTTAAGTATCGAATACAGAGCTAATTCCAAGCTAGATGGACCAGCAGTCTGACTTATTATAGCTTCCAATGTTGCTAAAAATTGGTGTATTTTTAAAATTAGCTTTACATCTTGTGCATGTAAGGACAATACGCATGATATTTTAGAATGCCATTCCTCTCGAACCATTTTAGAGTATGTACATGCCATACTTTCCATTTCAATGGAAATCCTGAGATCCAACAGCTCTGGTGCTTTCCCACTGCAATGAAATGGCTAGTCATAGAAAGGAGGGCACAATTTGACAATTCCTTTTGCAGAAAGAGAGTATTATCATCCTCTTTCACCTTTTCTTGCATTAAGTAAAGGTAAAGGTACCCCTGCCCGTACGGGCCAGTCTTGCCAGACTCTGGGGTTGTGCGCCCATCTCACTCAAGAGGCCGGGGGCCAGCGCTGTCCGGAGACACTTCCGGGTCACGTGGCCAGCGTGACATCGCTGCTCTGGCAAGCCAGAGCTGCACACGGAAACGCCGTTTACCTTCCCGCTAGTAAGCGGTCCCTATTTATCTACTTGCACCCGGGGGTGCTTTCGAACTGCTAGGTTGGCAGGCGCTGGGACCGAGCAGCGGGAGCGCACCCCGCCGCGGGGATTCAAACCGCCGACCTTTCGATCGGCAAGCCCTAGGCGCTGAGGCTTTTACCCACAGCGCCACCCGTGTCCCTGCCACCCGTGTCCCAGCGCCACCCGTGTCCGTGTTTCTTGCATTAACTCTAATCAAACACAAGAGTACAATGTTATGCAAGGGACTACCTTTTAGTCCTCCAAAAGGTAGTGTGAATGCACATCATTATGCTGAGATACAATGAGCAGTCAAAAAAACAGCCAAACAGCATCAAGCAAAAGCTGGGTATACTTGTATTTACGACATCATTAATCCCATATTATCCTGCCTTTCCAACTCTGTGAGTGCAATCTCCTGTGGTTTAGGGTACTAAATTGAAGACAGAGGAGGGAAGCTTCAACTACAGCTGCAAGAGAGGCCAGTTCCTGGAAGTCTGTGTTGTTGGCATCCATCTTGAGAGACAAACCACTGCTTTAGCAGCTCCAAAGTGACCTCACAGGGTGTAAGCCTGGGCAGTGTGTTTGGAGGTCCTGGGCTACTCAGACGACAAGACCCCCCCCCCAATCTAGGAGCCACAGGTGAGAACTGAGTGCAGGGTTGGGGACCAAAGATGGACAAACAACCCCAGAAGGAGCCCGTCTCCCAACACCCCATAGAGCTGTAATAATCTTACATAAACTGCTCTTATAAGGTCCACCTGAAAAGCTGCATAGAAACACACCGAATAAATAGATCAGGCATGGCCAAACTTGGCCCTCCAGCTGTTTTCTGGGACTACAACTCCCATCATCCCTAGCTAACGGGACCAGTGGTCAGGGATGATGGGAATTGTAGTCCCAAAACAGCTGAAGGGCCAAGTTTGGCCATGCCTGAAATAGATAATAGATTCGAATTAGATGGGGAAGCACCGCTGGCTCGTTTCTATGGGTTCAAATATATTTCTGCTAAAATCCCAGGAACTGGTGCGAGGAACCACTGCTGTTGCTGTTACCAAATTAATGTTGACAGCTACCGATTGATTTTCTTAACCCACACTACTTCTTCCTCTTCTTTTCCATAAAGATCGCCCTAGATCCACAAGGCCCAACAGAACACGGAGGGAACCGAACCAGCGCCATGCAGATCCAGAACATGACCTGAGAGGAGGGCAGGCCTCCCTAAGCCAAGAGATGCTCCTGCCTGCTCCGCTTCCTCCTCTCCCCACCCCGCAACCCCGGTCAGACTCGGCGCTGGCTGCTACGGGAGAAGGGGAGGGAGAATAATAAATAATAAAATAAATTATATTTTATTTATATCCCGCCCTCCCCAGCCGAAGCCGGGCTCAGAGCGGCTAACAACAGTAAAATGACACAACATTATAAAATCATTTCATTATGAAATTTCATTATGAGAAGGGAGGGGAAAAAGGAGCCGCTCACTTCCCGGCCAGGTCCTTGTGGGAGCCGCTCGAGCTCATGAGCTGGGTCAGCTCCTGCCTCACAGCCGCCGCCATTTTGGATCCTCCCCCTTCCCGCCCACAACCTGTGAGGGGAAACACAGCGCCCCCGGCTCCGCCTCCTCCGGCGCGAGACGCCTCTACGCTAGAGACGGCGACGCAGCCGCGTAACCATACGGAGCCAACGGCAATGCGCCGTGACGTCACGGACCTCGGAAGCGCCGAAAGGGGAGGAGGAGGGAGCCTGAGCGGAAGTGGAGCGCGCTTTGAGGAGAGAAGGCGGGAGAAACCAGCGCGGCGCGAGAAAGAGAGAGGGAGAGGGCGGGCTCGCGGGTTGGTTGGCTGTTTGGCGCCGGTGACGCGGCGCCGGTTGCTAGGGCGCCGCTGCCCGAGCTATTATGGGATGCGGCGGCGGCGGAATGGCGCTGGGCGCGTGATTTTGAACAAACGCGGAACCTGCCGCAGCTGCTGCTGCTGTTGCCGCCGCCGCGAGCAGCCGCCGCTGTCACGGCGACCAGCCGGCCGCGCGCGGGAGCGAGCCCGGGAGCGCGCGGGCGGCGTTGTCATTACGGTGGGGCCGGCGCGGGGGGTGGAAGAGACCGATGTGAAGCGCCGGGGCTGCGGCGGGCGCAGGTGAGCGCTAGGCGGGCCGAGCGGGGGGGGGGGGCGGGTCGCCTGAGGGGAAGGAAGGGAGAAGCGGCGCAGCCCTGAGGCGCTTGACCCACCGGCCGCCTCCTTCTCCCTTCGCTGACAGGACGAGTCTAGCCGGCTTGTGGGGTGGGCGCCTGTCGGGAAGGGAGGCTCAGTACCGGCCCTTCTCCCTCCTCCTCCGCCTCCCCTCAGGATTATATTTTTAATTGTCATCTATCTGTCAGTGACAAAGGGGTTCGGGACCCCTCGGCGGAGGCAGGAGGTTTTAGGCCCGGCTGGAGCTGCGCGGAAGCCCCTGGGTAATATTTCGGCCTCGGAGCCGCGACGAGCCGGTGCCTCCAGGAACGAGGCAGGAGGCTTCATTGTTTTATTTTCAAATTGCCTCTCATTCTTCTGTCAAGGAAGGCCGCGGGGAGCAGGGATTTGCCCCAAAAGCGGGGGGGGGGGGAGGCTGGTGGCGTGGGTTGAAGCTGTGAGTTGTAAGTCCTGGGTAGAAGCGACTAACAAATTCAATAAATAAGAGCAAGAAAGGGAAAGAAGAGTCTCGTTTCGAAATATCGAGTTCGATCTCATTCTTCAGTCTGAAGGCTGCTGCTCAAGGAGGTTTGCTTTTGGCGTATCGTAGGGCAGGGCAAAAACTTTAAAATTACAATTCCCAACCACGGATATTTATTTGTCCAGAATTTAACGCAGGTGGAAGTTTTGCTCTGTTGCTGAAACGGGAGCAGAATAGCTGGCCTCAGTAAAAGCACCCTCTCTTTTTCTCACAGGAAACCACAGTTTAACAGGGACTTTAATCTTTATGGCAGTCAGCTGAGTTCCCTGTGTTTATTGTATGGCAAGTCGTTGGACTCTTCTCTTGCCTTACAATCTTATCAGGCCTGGGCGTTGAATGGTGTAAAGAGCAAGCTGTTATTGGTGAACTGTCAAAGATTGCTGGACTGTGGCTTGACTGATGTACAATATTACAAAGTAGCTTTTCTATTTGATTGGTAAGAAAATGGACTATCTTCTGTCTCTCTGTTCCGTTTCTCTTGTCTAAACAGCTAGTGCATATCTTGATGGCAATAGTACGGTACTTTGATTTTTATAATTTAGATATTCGAAAGAAATGTTAAATACATATTTTGTTTTCCCTCTGATCAAAATATACAAAAATCCAACCAAATCCATTCTTTGTAGAGAAGCCACTTCACAAATTAAGCAGCTGTTATTTAAAATGCATTTCTTCTGTCAATCCCCAGTACATAACAATACCTTTGTAAGTTGCTCATTATGATCCATTTACTAGCAGAGGGCAAATGAGCCAATGGAGCAATAACTTTGAGCAGTGTATATTGCTAAGTATAAACAAGGAAGCTATATTTTAACACTATCAGTGCTCCAGTATTATAACAATTGCTTTCCAACTATGTTGATTCTGGAAAATCAACAAAAATTCACTTGGGAGGGAAAGGTGAATCTATTGACAGTGGTGCTCAATGATGAAATACCAATAAATTCTATAAAATTATATCCAATATTAGTCAAACTTTCATTAGACATAGTGAAATCAAAGGATTTAAGTTTATTGATTTGTGGGCAAGCCACACTACATATTTCTGAAACCATTTAAAGCAAAACAATGTAAGCACAGGAGAAATGAAAACAAAAAATACTCCTATTAAATAATAAGTGCAATACAAAACTGACCTCAAACGAATTATATCGCCTCATCTCTAAAAGCTTGGTGAAATAAGTCTTTCACTATCCTCCTAAAAGAGTATCCTACTGTGGAGAAATACACCTTAATAGAGAGAGAGTTCCAAAGTTTTGGAGCTGCCACTGAAAAACCCTTATTATGAGCCCTGTTAACCTTGTCCCTTATAGGAACCACCAAGAGAACCTCATTGGCAGGTCTTAAAGACCAGACAGGTTGGCATGGGAGAAGGTATTCTTTCAAATATTTAGCTGAGATTCCTGCATTGCAGGGGGTTGGACTAGATGACCCTTGGTATCCCTTCCAACTTTGTGATTCTATGAAATATTTGTTTCCTGGGCTGTTTGGGGCTTTAAGTGTTAGCATAAGCACCTAAAAGTGGGCTCAAGAAACAATTAGCAACCTGTGTGGATACTTTAAAATGGGGATAATATGTGAGCAGGCTCCTGCTCCTATAACCACATGGGCCACCCAAGCTAGACAGATGCAGCTTGGTAGTCTCTATGCGTGGGTGAGATGATGGTGTCAGGAGGAGGAGCAGGTGGCAACTGGATTTGTTAGGCACCAGAGAACATTATAGGACATTATAGCTGAGCATGTATAAAAGGGATGGGCCGCACTGAACCAGGGTTGGACCAGACTGTTGGTAGTTAACAGTTGGGGGAGACCCAACAGGAGCTGAAGAGGGTCCCGTTTAGAACAAATCTCCCCCTTACGATGAAGTTGATAAAGTGATGAACATTTAAATGGGGAAGGTGTAGAACTAGGCATTATGAGTGCAGGGAGGCCAGACCACAACAGTTCAATATGCAAAATGCCAAAAACACTTGAAGACAAAGACTTCATACAAGTTTTTACACACCAATGCTAGAAGCCTCTGAACCAAGATAGGTGAACTGGAGGGCTTGGTCTTGGAAGATGGCATTGATATAGTGGGTATAACAGAGGGTATAAACTTTATAGGAAGGACAGGGAAAGATGCACTAGAGGCTGTGTTGCGTCAAAGAGGGCACTGAGTGCAGCAAGCTAGAAATCCTCAGACAAGGCACAGAGAAAGCAGACAGAGAAAAGTTTTTCTCCCTCTCACATAACACTAGAACTCATGGTTATTTGATGAAAATTCAGAACAGATAAAAGAAAGTACTTCTTTGTGCAGCACACATTTAAACTAGGGAACTTGCCTCCTGTAGGAGGCTGTCATGGAAACCAGCTTGGATGGCTTTAGAGGATGATTAGACAAATTAATGGAGGACAAGACTATCAAGAGCCACAGTGGCTCTGTTCTACTGTACTTCCATTGTCAACGGCAGTATGCCTCTGAATAAGTTGCTGGAAATTGCAAGTGGGCAGAGTGCTGTTGTGCTCATGTCCAGCTTGCAGGCTTTCCGTAGTGAGAACAGGATGGACCATTGGTCTGATCCAGCAGACTCATATTAAATTCTTATTTAACCTTGCAGGACAAGTCCTGTAGTCGCCCCGGTGCTATTCTCTGCTGAAACTCATCAGAGATAGGAGTGGAGCCACTATAAAACAGTATCCCCAACTCCAAATTCATGCCATGATCCATGGCATCAAAAGCCACTGAGATGTCAAATAGAACCAAGAGAGTTGCATTGCCACTATGCCTCTTTCAACAAAAGTCATTGATCAGGGTGACCAAGGCTTGCTGGTTTTCCACAGGCATCTGGTTTGGCCACAGTGAGAACAAGATGCTGCATTAGATGGGTCATTGGCCTAATCCAGCAGGTTTATGTTCTTATGCTCTTAAGCTAGTTTTGTTCCCCAAACCAGGCCAGAAGTCAGATTGAACTGAGTCCAGATATTACCAACAGGCCTTAAAGTGTATACCAAAGCTCTCATTGACTCTGCTGTAGAACCCAATTAAGAAAACTCTTGACCTTCATAGCATCTCTGCAATCAGATTCCAGAATCTAGTTTAAAACAGCTAAATTTATGCAAGTGTACCAGATAATTGATGCATAGAATATGCAGAAAATTGCGGCTTTCCAGTTCACAGTGCATGGACAGGTTTGCCAGGATATTTTTGTGGAAACTAAAATAGTTGTTTGCCTCATGGAAATGACTTGCAGAAGTACTTTGATAAATATGTAACTTTTATGTGGAAAATGGATCTAATAGTGGCATGATGTATTGGCTCTATTCAAGTTTCCCAGGATGGTTCAAGTACTATAGAACATCAAATACCTACATAAATCTCTGCATAATTTCTCCACTAGCATATTTTTCATTTAATTGCAAGAGGCACTGCAGCTTTCACCAATGAATTATTGAGAATAGTGCTTGACACCCAATAAAGCCTATGTTAACTGAAAAGGCATTACAGTTCTTGATACGGGAATTTATTCTTAAACTATTTGCTATGCTGAATTGGCTTGAGTGCCATGCTTGAGAGTTTTGCTCCTGAACAGTGAGTCAAAACTGAGACATGAATAATGGAGTTAGTTCTTAAGTAATGTAAGATCTGATCTGTCATTAACAGTCACTTGTACTGTATCTTGGCAGTTGAAGGGATACTGTGGTTATAAATTGTGTTGTGTAGAATGTATGGAATGAAAACTCTTTGAAGTGGGAATCTCAGTGTAGTTCCACTTTTCACACACTCTTGGAAGCAGTTTCCCATGTTCAATGTGATGTTCCTCTATGTGAGTGAGTTTGGGTTTGTTTGCTCTTTTTTAAGGGAAAAAGCAAGCATAAATGATTTTAGGTGGAAAAACCATGTTTTTCTCCATCAGTTTTG